TTAGTTCTACCTTTTGGCTATTGTGAATAATGCTGCTATGAACATGGGTGTACAGAGAAGGGTAAATCTTAACCTTACATGTGCATAAGAAACCTCCCAAGCAGCCTGTTAAAAATGCGTATTCTGAAGCCCCATACACCCCTCTTGATTCCCATTGTTCAGTATGTGTAGAGTGGAGTTCAGAAACTTTTAAGCACTTCAGGTGATTTGCTCTGTCACCTAGGCTGGAGTGCAGTGACGTGAACACTGCTCACTGCAGCCTTGACCTCCCAGGCTCAGCGGTCCTCCCACTTCAGCCTCCCGAGTAGCTGGGATTACAGGAATGTGGCACCACACTCAGCTAAACTTTGTATATTTTGTAGATGTGCGGTCTCGCTATGTAGCCCAGGTTGGTCTGGAACTCCTGAGGTCAAGCAATCCTCCCACCTTGGCCTCCCAAAGTGCTGGCATTACAGGCACGAGCCATGACACCCAGCCCGTACTTTAGGTGATTCTAATGAGGGTGAACCTCCAATCCTATGAAGTCAGGGTGAAGGATCACAGCCTTTGGCACTAGAGCGAAGTCTGGCTTACACTGCCTGTCTCTGCTTGCTCTTTCAGTGTCCACCATGAAGACAAACACAGGTTGGCTTTGTGCTTCTGCTCTTCTTTCCTCAGCATAGCTAACATGTTTTATCAAACAAAACCTTTCCAAGCTTTTATTTGGTCCCTAATGTCAGGTGAACCTGAAGGGATTAGTGTCCCACTGTACCTGTAGTGGTTTTTGGAAAGGGCAGATGTGACCCTTTCAGGATTAGGCATGAGGAAGCCAACAACAGAGATGTGCTGGACCATGGTGTAAAACTCATGCGTCTCAGGAATAGTGCCTCCTGCCTCTGCCAGAGAGATTAGAAAGGCTTTGTTAAGGGAAGCATGAGAAAGAATGATCAGAGTTTCTACAGTTAAGTGAAAGACTTCATTGATTTGCTGATGAAGAAACCTACATGAGCTGAAAATACTAATTCTGGATGATGTAGTCTGAAAGACAGGTGTTCAAGGCTGTAAGCTAAATCGGTAACCTATTTAACAGGAGGTTTTTGTCAGACTTCACAATCGGCTTGCTGTGTGACCTTGGGCTACTTATTTGATCTTGTTGAAAAACACTCTTCTACCCAGTAGATTGGAAGTGATCTTCAAAGTTATATGACTCTGTTTCTGAAGCATCATTGACCCAGCCTCCCACTGATGTTGGTGTATATGAATGGGAGATTAAAGATCTCTGAGACCAAGCTCAGAATACTGAGAACTGATCTCAAAATACAGAGATACTGGGAAATAACAGCCATAAAATCTGAGTTAGTGAAGAACAAAGGCTGTAGTGGTTGGGTTAGTGATTATAACTTAGGCCATAAGCTTTAAGTACCCACGGGCACACACAGTTTTGGGCATGAACGTCGTCATATGCAGATGATTGAATGAAAAGACGGATTTGCTTGGATAGAAAATCAAGCCTCACTTGTACCCCAATCCTAAACTAAATCCTTGTACCCCAAATCTAAACTACTACATGCTAAAATACTAATGATATTGATTTCGATCCTGAATATCTTATTTTATGACAAACCTATAACAAGAGATCCCAGCATATCTGGTCAATGAGAGGCACTTTAACTTCCAGAACCTTTATTTATTTATTTATTTACTTACTTACTTACTTACTTATTTATTTATGTATTTGAGACAGAGTCTCGCTCTGTCACCCAGGTCGGAGTGCCCGTGGTGCAATCTCAGCTCACTGCAACCTCCACCTCTCAGGTTCAAGCGACTCTCCTGCCTCAACCTCCTGAGTAACTGGGACTACAGGCATGTGCCACAACGCCTGGCTAATTTTTGTATTTTTAGTAGAGGCAGGGTTTCACCATGTTGGCTAGGCTGGTCTCGAACTCCTGACCTTGGTGATCCACCCACCTCAGTCTCCAAAAGTGCTGGGATTACAGGCATGAGCCACTGCACCCAGCCTCCATAACTTTTTATATCTATAAATCTAGAATTCTGTGTAGAAATACAGCTGTCACGATGACCATCTTGATGAATCTTAAGCAGTATGAGATATCAGAGTACTTTTGGAATCACCAAGAAAGATTGTTTCATTTGGTTTACTGGCAGTGTTAAATCTAGTTAATTATTTTCTGATTATTTAACTTGATGAAAGTTTATGGTATATTGTGATTGTTAATTAACATAGGACTTACCATTTAGCCAAAACAAAATGGTAGCTTACTTTTTCAGTGTATCTGGAGAAGCAGGAGAGTGTACAAGTTAGTAGTTCATGTTCCAGCTTTGCCAATTACTAGCTGAGCAAGGAAATACTTGAGCAAATTACAGAGCCATTTTCCGCCTCTATTTCATCAGTAAATTGGAAATAATGGCACCTACTAATGGATAAAATGAGTTAAAATGTATAAAATGCTTTGAATAGTACCTATTATATAGTAATCACTCAACAAATGTTAGTTTATTATTGCTATTGTTGTTATCATAGCATTTTCTAGTTTGCTTGGCACTTATGCCTATCTTTTCTCATTTTAGCTTCATGATAACCCTGTAAGTAAGGCAAATGTCATAAGTAAGGAAAGTAAGGATTTTTTAAAAAGTGACTTGTTCATGGTCCCAAAGCTAGAAGTGTTGGTAAGTGGGGCTAGATCCCACATCTTTTGACTGATAATCTGTCTCTCACCATGTCATGATGTCGCCTTCTCAGCATGCTGAATAAATGGGTGCCATTATTTCTGGCACACTGTCTCTTTAATAGCCACATAATCTTAGGGTTCCAGTTAAGGTTGAGAAGCTGAGAGCATGTTGGCTTCTGAGATCAAAGATCATTTTACTGACCTCAAATTGTATACCAATATGATGATAGGGTATTGAGATACCCAGGCTAAAGGAGTCACATTTGACAAAGTCTTGTGCGGATTATCATCCTTTCATAATGGCTAAACCTTTTATGATACCATTCAAGCTCAGTGATTTCCCAAATCATACTGATAAGTACAAGAAGTGTTAGCAAAAGAGATGAAAAAATTGAACTTGTAAATGAGACCTTTGTACCAAATTATTGGATGTTTTTTCTTCAAAGCCTCATTCAGAGATTTTGAATTCTTCAGTGGGTTCTTGGTATCTTATGACATAAAGCATCCTCCCATTAGGTCTGGGAAAATCACCACAAGGATACCAATACTTCTGATATCTTAGCAACAAGGATCTTGCTTAGATCCATACTTGCCTTTACCCAAATCTGGATTGAATTACTGGAAGTTGAATGATCTAGCTCTAAAGACTGTATAAACATTAGAAAAGAGAGCTCTGTTAACACCAGAGGGCCTTATCTGTAGATTTTTTAAATGTAGACTATAAGAGAACCATATAAGCATTGTCCAGAGAGACAAAAGGAAAGAAAAATGTAAGCCACAATGGTTTGAAATATCCACCTCTATTTTATAGAACCTGGACTCTACTGATGTTCTTCAGCCCCAATCCTGCAGTTATTCATGTGGATTTCAACAAGAGAGTAGCTAGTGAAATTCAAGCTGAGATGTAGTCATTGAACCAAATAGTATAACGACTAAGTTGGAGATTTTATCTCACGACAATTGCGTTTTGTTGTCTAGCTTCAATACTATTTAAGAAAATAAGTATTTCTAGGTTATTTGAGGGATTTTGACATGGATGCAAAATATTAGTCTGTTCTTTTTCCTTTGGCCCCAGGACTTGGGATGAAATCACATGATTTAATCATTTTGAATCCATGTGGCTCCTCTGAGATAGGACCAGATGTAACCAGAAGGATTTATAGGGTGTAAAATTCAGAATGGATTAGAAAAGCCTTTCTATGTTCAGCCCAACACATTCTAAATCAATGTCCCCTGAATGGACCAGAGCAATCTCTGGCTGGCCTAGTGGGGAGGTTGTCATGGCAACTGACTGGCAAGCTCAGCCAGTGGAATGTGAATACAAACAATAGAGTGATAAGACTGTGTACAGAACAGCACACTAAGGCTGCTTCTGCCCAGGTACAGTGGCACATAGGTGAACGTGTGAAATTGTTGCTGCACTTTGTACCTTCTTAACAATCTCTGGCAGCTCATTTGAAATTTACCAAGTGCCCTTTCCCAGATGTTGGTAAAGACGTTGCTGCTGATAGATAACAGACGCTATGGAAAAATCAGCACCCAGCTGATAGGTGCAGAGGTATACAAAGCCCTGGAGGGCCGTTGGAATAACACTGCTCAAAAATTTTCTGAAGGAGGCTGAAGCAGGTTTAAGGTAAATCTTATGACTCTTCAGTGCCATCTTGTGTCCTTTTAGATGCTGAAAATTTACTAGAAGGCCACTCTCAGACCCATTGTTAGGCAGCAGCAGGGCAGAAATGGCAAAGTTAGAGCAGGATTATATTGGAGCTTGGTATTCCCTTTTACAGCAGAACAAGCACACCAAGGCTTCTGAGCTTTAAATTGATTTAAAAAATTAAAATTACAAATTTTGGTAGAATCTGGAAATAAAAACAGAATAAAATGCCAAATGATGCCACGAAAAGATTGCAAGAGTCTACATGGTGGACTAGGGGTTGAGGGAAGGGATGGAAAAGATAGATTTGGTGTTGAAGATTCTTAAAGATAGATGTGGTGTTGAGGATTCTTACTGTTGTCAGTACTAACTCTTGCAATAGGATATTTTTAATATCTTCAGTCATGCTGATAATGCAAATGAATCAAGAGAGAAAAATAAAATGTGAACATCACCAATTCCACTTTATAACTCTTTTGTTCATGGTTAATGGAGTAAGAGATGGTAACATTTGCTTAAATGGTACCTCCTGCCCACCTCTAATCTCTTACCTACCCCAAACCCACCACCCACTGATGTCTCACCATCACCTCATCACCATTGAAAGCCATAATCAAGTCCCATTTAATTTCAGAAATGTGAAATAACCAAGTTGTGTTTCTGTGTGTTTCTTCCAGGTTTTGAGTTTTTTGAAACAAGTGCCAAGGATAACATTAATGTCAAGCAGACATTTGAGCGCCTTGTGGATATCATCTGCGACAAAATGTCAGAGAGTTTGGAGACTGATCCTGCCATCACTGCTGCAAAGCAGAACACAAGACTCAAGGAAACCCCTCCTCCACCGCAGCCCAACTGTGCCTGCTAGTGTCCCCATGCACACAGGCAGCTCCACGAAACAGCATTTGTAAATGGTCTGTTAGCCTTCATTTATACTGCCTAATAATTATTTGAAGGAATAATTTGATGTCAATGGCTCATACATGCATTCAATTCTTGGGAGATTTCCTGTTTAATATGTGGCAAATATGTGATCTTAAATTTGTAAGGACTAGCCATCTATAAACATCTGGTACCTGCACGTGACTTGTTATTTATTTGTCTGCTAGGCTCTTTTTGTTTCAAACTTGTTCTCAGACTACTTCTGGGACATCAGACTATAATTTCGCTACAACTGGCTTTTGTCCCATTGATTCAAATTATGCTATTCACTTGTAGGAATGATGACCAAGGAATTGCTCTGTGTGTGTGCGTGTGTGTGTGTGTGCGCGCGCGCGCACACACACACACACAGGAGAAGATGTCACAAGACTTCATTTGCTTTACTCTTAGTTGAAAATCAAAGGGAAGTTTTTCATGATTAGGGATGCTGTAATGAGTCTGGTCAGTTTACTGTTGGGCACTGTGTCTTTATTTCACTGTTATTAATAACTGAGGAGATAATTGACCTATAAAGATATTGAAATGTTGTTTTTAAGGTCCTTGCAATGTTCCTAAGTCATTAATACAACCTGACTGGGGCTATTTAACAATAATCTTCGTTTACATGTTTAAATAAGCAAATACCTACCCAGGACTTTTTTCCCACTGATTCTACCCAACTCTGTGAATATTTGGCATCATCGAACAGATTGAGATGTATCTACTGAATGCCAGTTATGCAACAAGCATTGTAACCAAAAAGAGTATGAGTAGCTATGGAATTCCAAGGTCCAAGCTCCCTTAGTTTTCAATGACTTGCCTTCCCCAACCCCCATAATGCACACCACTACCACCATCACTTTCTGGAACCGTCACCACTCTTGGACTAGAGCTTTTGTTGAAGTTTGTTAGGGCTCCTCTTTCCATAGGATGTAGACTTGCCTCCTCAAACACGGCCATCTTCTCAAACTTCAGCTAAGTTCTTTTACCTGTTTAGATGTTATTTAAATCAGATTTAAAAGGGTCCCAAGAAAAAGGGAAATTTTAATCTTTAGTCATCTTTTTAAGTCCAGATGTTCATAAATTCTAAAGCATATTCCTATTACGTGAATGCTTAAGTTACACGGGAAACATTCTATAACTGTAGTGTTTCAATTTCAGAAATATTTAGGGTCCCTAGCAATTTAAAAGAGGAAGGAAACCATTGGAACATTCTAATTTTGTATCACAAATTCCTAAAGAACCTATATGAATAAAGAGAAAACAACAAATCCTATCAGCTGTACAGAGCAGCAGGGAGACTTCGCCTCTGGATCACTGTCCAGCATTATTTACAGCTAGGATTTAGGAAGGCAGCAGGGATTATTTGGTGGATTTGGAAGGATAGTTTCATTAAGTGAACTTTCTCTTTTTTGGTGTTTATGTCAAAGAAATTTTTTCCTCTTTTCAAAAAATAGAGAGGCTTCCCATAAAAGTATTGAATACAAGTGAAACGGGCATATATCTAAAGATATCTCTGGAGAATAAATCCTTACAAGTCACAGAACTAGTTCGCACACATTAGTAAGTTAAAAGTTGGAAATTAGGGGAGAGAGCATTTGGAATGCTTTAAGCATTTCCATGTTATTTCTCACCTTCCTAGTTGAAGATCCACTAATCGGTAGTACATTTCTACTTTGGCACCCTGCAAAGCAAACCTTAGCATAGTAAAGACAAGAAAACATTAATGTTTTCTTAGCTTTTAATGGGGCAACCAACTTCAAAATCACAGGAATTACAGTGAAGGGAGAGAAAGAAGCAGGGGGCGTAAAAACAGATTTGTTTGCAGCAGTCGTCTGTTTGCACAATGTTATAATATTTCTGTAACTTGGGCCAGAATGTGGCCGTGTTAAATGATATAGCTATTAAGCTCACTTGTACAATCTAAAAGGAACTAATAAAGCAGGAAACCCTTCCCATCCTCCTTTGCAGCCCTCAACCCACAAATACAAATAGATGTAAAAAGCTTAAAAAGAATATTTTGATGGCTTTTTCAGAAGGACCTTGATGTGTGTATTGTGGTAAAATGAAAAGCAAAATGAGACAGTATTTAAAAGTGAAAGAGCTGAGTTTTGCTCAGAGGAAAACCCCTTCCCTGAAGAACTGATTGCTGTTGAAATTAATCGGCCCTTAGATGGGGAAGCCCTAAGCCAAGCTCCCACTTACACAGTGTCAAACATCCCAAAGTGGAAACATTTTAGCCAGTCAGGGGAGAGGCATGCAACAATAGCCTAAGTGTCATTGCCAAGAGACATCTGATACTTTCTAATTTCTAAACCCCAATGGAAGTGAAGCCTTTTTCATTGATTCTCAGTTCTGAAACTCCCACCCTGCTAGGATTTCTATTCCAAATAATTCAATGAGAGGTTTCCAGAGAAACAGTCACAGAGCTCAAGAGAAAGAACACTTACTTTCCTGCTGTAATTGCATTTAAAAATCTGGGTTTTAACATCAAATTTGGTAAATGGTGGGACCAACCCAAGGTTAACTAAGTGAGCTTTCATTGACACTGAGCTATGTTACTTATAAATTATAACACTATTGTTCCAAGGTTTTTCAGCCTTTTGGCCAACACACACACACACACACACACACACACACACACTAAATCATCTATCAATAGTCTAAATACATAACTAAATGTAGGTCATTTTTATCAATGGCCTAACTAAATTTATATTTAAAAGAACAAGACATTTTAAAAAGTACATACTCCTGGTAGTTTGTAAGTCATACACATTTATCTCTTGTCTTGGATGCAATTAAATTAGTGTTTTAAGTATGAATTTACTTTCCTTTGCTACTCATTACCTGACCACTTTCACTCCTCTAAATACCTTTAGGAATAAACCTTAACTGTACCAAATAGATTCTTCCAAGAGCTTTGGTGTTGGTACCTTCCTTTATTTTCCTAATGCAACTGAAAAATTGGACTGAAAATTATTTCGCTTAAATAGCCATCCTCAGAGTGAATCAGCATTTCAGTTTTTGGAGATGGGGATGGAAATAGAAGGTGCACGAAGCGTCCTAAGATGGCAGTTTGAATGTTAGCATTACTTCTACACGCTCATAAGAGAAATTGCTTCAGGACAATGAATCAGTTCATTGTTGCTGCCCCCAGTGAACAGCTCCAACTGCCTTGATGAACTTCTAATGATTGTGAAAGCTAGGAGGTTCTTCTAGTTCCTCCTTACAGTCACTTGAAGTTCAGTATTTTTTTTTTGCTGCCTGGTAACTAAGTGCCAAGATTTTACTTGGAAAGAAAACTATGACGATGCCTTCAGTTGTAGCAGAAAGTTGTGGCATTGTGATAACAAACAAAATCTACAAAGTTACAACCCAAATTATACAAGACATCAATACACTCAGTAAACAAATACATATTTCACCTACTTAAATCATATCAATTATAGGCCTTTTGTTTAGTACACTGGTTATTTTTTTAAGGAACCAATTTAAACTTTCAATTTTAAATACATCTATGCTGATGATAGACTTTCGGGTATATATAACCTTCTTCTTCTCTTTTAAAAGTTAAATACATTCCACTATTAACTGAACTTCCACGAAGCAACATTAATTTTAGAGCATGGTAATCCATAATCAGTGGTTCATTGTGATGTGCTTTATCCAACATGTATCTTAGTGCATGGTTGAGGGTGTACCTTATGTGATCTTTTAGTTAACAGTGTGGCATTTGTGGGACTATATTAAAAGCCTATCCAAACTACCAAGCTGTAGCAAGCTGAGGTAGCACCTGCATGTGAAAAACTGTGATATGAATCTTATTTATAAAAAAGTCATAACTAAAACCCTTCTAGACCAAAAAGTTACTGTGTGTTTGTTAATAATCTTCATAGTACTACTGGAATGCTCAATCAGGTATTTTTGGTGTGGCTTACTTCAGAGCTGGCCTGTCCATCTGAAGAACGCTTTCTCTCACAATTACAGTTTGCATGACTAGAACCCGGAACTCTGTTCCTTTGCGCGTATAGTCACTTAGTGTGCTGTCCGGGTGCCATATGAGCAACTACAACCATGTGGCCTTTCTGTCACTCCCTGGAAAATGCAACCTCTACAGCTCTGCTCAACTCTGCCTGTGTGCGTTGACTACCTTCGCTTTAGTAGTTTGCCTGTAAAATGGTGAAGTCTTTCTGATATGTTGAACCTGTGAGCCAGCTTTTGGGAGTTCTTCATATTTTAGATGAATTTTTGACCAAAGTCAATTAAAGACATAAACCTGTTTTATATCATAGAATTTACTGGATCAAATCAAGTAAAAGATGAAGTTTATGACCACAATAAAAAAGCCTTTACCCCTGCACTGCACTGTGTCTAAAGGGCTCTAGGTTGTAGAAATATAGTACCCCCAAACAGAGAAAAAACAAGTTGGGGGATTTATCTAAAACGTATCTACCTATTGTTACTGGTATTTCACAAATAATTTTTTTCTTAAAAACATTTACAGAAATGCTTGACACTCCAGTCAAATAGTATTTCCCTTTGATACACTGAAATATTTGCTCTTAGATTACACACACAGTGCTGCCCTTCTCAACAATCACTCACAGGCTCACTCGCCTGATACAAAGGTATCAGGTAAACACTGATACTTTTTTTTTTAAGAAGGGAAAATTCCATCTATGGTGCTTTCTCAGTGCTAGGGAAAAGGGAGCTTTTACTATGTTCCAGCTATAACTCACATCTTACTTATAAGGTCCATAAAATCGGTTCTTCACACCAATTTGGTTTGATTAGTCTGTGCGTGTAATTAATTTCCTCTAAACAGAGAGAGTGGAGGGGAAATACATTTCGCAAACATTCTAGATAACAGAAATGAGTTATTTTAAAACCTCACTCAGAGCTCTAGTGTTAAGATCAGACCATCTAGCTAGTGGACAAATTGAACTATTTGCAGTTCTCTTTTACTTTCTGACTTTCTTTTAAATTACTGCAGTTTTTCAAAATGCTATCCTCATGGAATGACAGGACCAAGAATAGAAAATGAGACTCAAATTTCACCATTTACTTCCCATCAGCAACCATTACTGGTGGAGTTTCAAACAGTCATTACTTGCTGAAATGAGGTTTGGGGTTACCTGTGTATTTCATTCACCTGTGTTCATATTTACTTCATCGTGGACAAGTGAGAGTTGGCTGTGGCTTTATTTCTTGATGCAAATTATTTTGCATTCATGTTATTTGGAGCTAGGTATTGCTTAGGTTCGTGAATGCTCTTCTTACAGACACAGATGGTACATGAGCCACTCAGACACCTGCCTTTTCAGGGACGTGAGCATGACTTACATCTTTCAAGTGGTTCCATACTTCTTGTAAAAGTAAAGTTTGGGTATTGTTTGCTGTATCAATATGATGGCTTTCCATGCATTGTCTCATTATCCCTAGGATATGTGCTGAAGGAAAACTGTCCTGTAATTCCTGTTAATATATTGTTAATGTCAGACGTGATGTGATACCGTTGGACTGTCCAAATGTACAACTATTTAATGGTGTTTGTAGAACTGAAATGTCTTAAATGTTGCATGAAATATGTTATAAAAATAGATTTGTTTTCTATTTTCAACACCTCAGAATTGAGGGTTCATGGGCCAATAAGTGCAATATTTAATGACTCACTCAGTGTATATAAACTAGTATGAAAGAGTGAATTATAATGAATGTGTGAGATGCTTTGATAGCTGTGTGACTTATTCAAATGATTTTCTTGTAGCTGTATTTGTCTAGTGGTGCAATTTATACAGTAAATATCTTATTGGTGTCATGTAAAACCCCTCTGTGCCTACTTCAAAATACTTTTTTCTTATAAAACCAAACATTTAGTATCTGGAAATATGTGTCAATTTTGTCTTTTAGAATTGTGGATTTTATTGTGAAGTCAGAATGGCTGTTCATTTATTTTATAAAAGCATCTCCTTCTATAACTCAAAATTTTCTTGGTCACATAAAAGTGTACATTTTACTTTTAAGCAAGTAATTTAGATACCTAAGAAAAACTATGTGCGTTAGGAAAAGTCATGTTTTTCTTCTCAGAAAGGTTGATCACATGACATGTCTACTAAAAATGTTCACCTCTGTATTTGTATGTATATTTTATTGTTACTCAAACTTGTGTTTTATTTACGAATTCAACACTGTCGACCCTGGGAATTCTAAAATACCAATGTATTTTTAGGTTGTAGCTAACATTGTATTCACTTTCAATTCTCAGTTGTCCACACTGGTGATATAAGATGAACAAATCAGAATCCTTGAATACTTCGTAATGCCATCATAAACTCATATATTCATCCTCAAACTCCCTTGTTTAATGCTAATTGGTGGCCTGGAACTTCACTGAGATGCAAAATCAAGAATTTAAGCCTAGTTGCTGGATAACTAAAAGCTATAAATGTTTATGTATGTGAATTTTAAAGTAGAATAACCATCTTAAACTCCTATTTGCCATTTCTCTTTTTAAGGCAAAGCATTCATTTTAATACTGTGCTTTGCCTTTTCATTCAATTAGTGGATAAGTCATGAAACCTTTAGGAAGAAAAACAAGTTATGACATATTCACTAAAATTGATGACAGTTGGTTCTAGATGACCATGGCCATGTGTTCATCATATAAAGCCTTCAGTTCTCTCTATGGTGCTTGGCTGGAGATTGACATGTGAGGATGTGCCAATCATATTAAATGGATTTGGTCTATGTGGGTGATATGTGGCCTGAATGTAACTGTGATAGACTGAAATTTGTTCTTAGCTCTCAAAACCCACTGAAGAAGTCAAGTGAAGGTGGGTAAAATAGGGAGATTAGTGACAACCTTGTGCCAAATTTTTTTTAAAATGGAAGCAGGTAGCCAACATTAGAATGATAATTTAAGGGTGTGGTTGAATGTTTAGTTAGTTGTCACATAGTTATTGAACTCCATATGCTCAGTGCTGTGGGAATCAAACATGGAAGAGGTATGGCTCCTGCCCCTAATGAGAACAAGGGAAAAAAAGTCCAGGTATAATCTAAATGCTAGGTTATGTCAGGGTATAGGAGCACAGAGAATGGGGGACCTGTAAGAACTGGAAGAGTCAGAGAGGGCTCCATTGAAGAGGTCAAACATAATTCCGGAAAGAATAAGGTAGTGAGGAGATTGTGCCAGGAAAATAAGTGGGAAAGTCCACAGTTATTTTTCCTTTGAATGGAAGAGAGACAAAGCTATCAGCTATAGATCATTGTTTTTCTTAAGACAGCCAAACTGGCCCTTTGAAACCACTCAAATTATCCCAGTTTAGCTCCCTACCTTTTGGTCTCCATGAGGAAGACAAGCTGTTGTATCATCATATTCCTCTGTGCTGAGCAGCTCAAGCCACAATATGCAAATTGCTTTAATGCCACATTACAGCAGTTGATTTAGACATTTGCCAGTGCACCAAACCATGAGAAATTATCCAACAAATGCCACCTGGCAGATGTGTACCCAGAGATTTTTCTGTAGCTCCATGTTTCCCATAAAGGGCATTGGAAATGCACAGATGAAGATCTTCCTTTGGAACCAGGCACTTTTGGCTCCTTCTCAGTGACTGCACTGTGGAACTCTTCTTAAGAAAATATTGAAAACAGCTTAATGCTTTCATATAGTGACTGACATTTAGTGGAAAACTACTGCTGCATAGCAAATATTGTGACTCTTCATGTGTCCACAGGAGCTCTTGTGTGGGTTTAAAGCTATGAAGTGTATTCACATTGTGAAGTTTTAATTATCTTTATTGAAATTAATTGTGTAAAAATGGTATGTGCTCTATTAGGTATTCAGTTTGTATGTGAATTCTGTATAGAAAGTGGTTATTGTTCTTTGAGTTTATCTTGTTTTATTTCTTGAAGATTACAATAAATATCTAAGAGACTATATTCCTGAATTTCTTAGGCTTAGTCTGATTAATGTTTTTCGTCTCCTTTCAATTTGTGTTATTTTTCATCCTAGGATGCTTATTTCCATTTCTTCTTCCACTTCAATAATCTTTGGTACAACACTGAGTTTGAACTGAAGATGAAGAGTGAACATATTTAGGGATTTGAGTATCTCACACATGAATTTGGACTTAGGCACAGGAATGAATTCTAATGCTCGTAATCTTTTAAGATCGGCAACTTTCTATCTGACCCAATTGACTGGGTTCCAGAGTTACAAAGCCCTTAGCTGTAGGATCAAGAATAGCTGCTAAGCGAGTAAAAGGTCTTCAGGTCTGCAACTTGAAGACCATGTGTCCCTAAATCAGAAGTCTAAGGTTTGATGATTACTTGGCACCCTACTGACATAGCCTGAGGCAAGGGCAGTCAACAGGGACAACATGTGGATGGGATGTGTGAATGGAATGGGTGTCATTTAATGCACAATACTTGGTGCAGTGATGATTAGGATGCTGTGCAGGCTCTCCTTGGCCATGTACCTCAAGGCATGGGGAAGCACCCAGCTACCAATCTATTTGTATCACAGCAGACTTACTACTAATTTTGCAATCTTGTAGCGTTCTTCTTGTGCTAACAGAACTGATTCTAGAGAATTTATTCCAAATATTCCTCAGGGCAATTTCCAGGAGTCTGCACCGAAAATCAGTCAAGAGGGAAGGTCCCTGGAAGATCCACATGAGCCCCATGGGTCAAATTAGCTTCCTGAACTGAACTTGGTAATAGAAGGGTAACCTCCCTGGGTACACAAAGCAGGTAGCACTTAAGAAACCAAAAATAAGAAAACAATGATAATAAATTAAGGGATTTCTAGTTATATTATCAACAAATACTTACAAAACGCCTTTTATATGCTAATTTCTCAGTATACATGAAAATACATACAATAGAGTCCTGACCCTCCATGAACTTAAACCATTGTGATAGAGGAAAATGTGTAAGTTTACATCAATAAAAAAACTCATCATTGATAAACTAAATATTCCTTCATATGTATGTCTAATAAATATTTAAAATGAACATTGGAAATTTGTTTCATTTCAAAAGAGCTCACAAAAATTTCCTCTTTGAAATGTTATAAAATGCATTTTTTAGACTGTAATCCTTTGCCCCCAGATAAATTTATAACAATCAATAAAACTCAGTTCAAAACTTAAAAAAAAAATTTAGGAGCCCAGAAAGACTTCACATGTTTCCTGATTATTCTGGGGCTCTTGTGGCAGAACCAGATCCAACCAGTTTTAGCAGAAATCTTCCTCTATCCTATTCCCTCAAGTAATATCCCCTTAGCTTTGAATTAATTTTAAAACATGAAGTTACTATGTGGCCACTTACTCAATAGCATTGAGACAGTAGGCATGAAACAGAAAACATCTGTCACCCTCAGAAAATGCTAAGTCATTCTCTCCTCAACTTCCTAACAGACTTGAAAAGGACACCTTCTAAATAAAAGGCCACAAAATCTTTGCACAGTTCTCAGGGACACTCCACCTCTTGGTTCTTGGTTCTCCTCTTTCTCCTCTAATTTCTCAACCCCTTACTCAGTCCAAAGAAGCTTTAGTCTGATGGAGACTGGCTGCTCATCTTTTCTTCCTAATCTATTGTTAATGACCTGAGTCCTTTTGAGGTAGAATTTCTCATTGTTTATTAATTTAAATCTCAGGAAATTTTATCTAAAAATTATGTTTTCTTTTTTAAGTACTGCCTCTCCCTTAAAGCAATTCTGCTAAGTGGAAGAAAGGCAAACGGTATAGAAAATATATGGAAAGTGAGTGTTGGATGAAAATCTGCATTAATATTTCAAAACAATATTCTACCAAGCAGACAATTACAATATAATTTGATTAGTGTCAATATAGAGGTTAAACACAAGCTACAGTGAAAGCACAGAAAGAAGCAATTATTAACCTAGATTGAAAGCAAGGGCTGGGATGTTCTGAGAAGGCCTACTAGAGGAAACAAGGACTGAGCTAAAACATACAGGAGAGGTAGGAATTATGCAGGGGCACATGTGACAGACGACTGCTCCAAGCATGAGGAGAAAACCACAGAAGTTTAGCAGAGCATGGTGTATTTATGGAATTTCAAAGCCATTCACATAGGGTGATCACAGGATGAAACAAAAGGAGAAAGAGCAAGGGCTGAGGTCATAACATTTATCAGAAGTGCTTTAAATGTCTAGATTTCATTCTCCAGCTGTGGAGAATTCTTGAACAGATTTAAGCCAGGAAGAAGTTTGAACAGATTTGAATTTTGGAAGATCACAAAATTGGCAATATGAGAAATGAATTAAAGGGAGGCAATAGCAGAAACAGAAAGAGTATTAGACAGCTATTACAGTAACCTAGAAGTTTTATCTCTAAATTAATTGCAGAATGATAGAAACGAAGAGAAGGGAATACATGAAAATTCATTTTAGAAGGTAAGAAATGGTGACCAGTAAGATTCAGGAAGAGGAAGAGGAAGAAACCAAGGATGACCTTCAGGCTTCTGGCTTGGTTGATTTTGCCATTAACTAAGAGAGAAAGTACAACTGTAGCAGTAGGTTTAAAGAAAAGAGAATGAGTTCCATATCCACAGTGTTATGATTGATGTTTCTAGAGGATGTGCAAAGGATGCAACTCAGTGAACATCTGGAGGGTGCAGATCTAGAGTTCAGAAGAGAGTTCTGGAAAGTTCTAGTATGTAGATGATAACCAAGACTTGGTGTGTAGAGAAAATGATGTGCTGGGGAATGTTTCAAATGATAGAAGAGCAGATTGAGAAGTAGGGCACACGATATTTATGGGCAGCCAAGGAAAACAAGTTCACAAAGGAGACTTGAAAGAGGAGTGGTCAAAGGGATGGATGGAGAATCAAGTGAGAACGGGACACAAGAAGCCAAGAGAGGAGCCCGTTTTAAGAAAGAAGGAGTGATCCACATTTTTGGATGATGTAAAGTGAAATCACAATTGCCAGTCATACAATTTAGGGACGCAGACACAGGACACTACTTGTGGGTGGTGGCTAAAAGGAGGATGAGGACTGAAAAATTACCTATTGGGTACTATTCTTATTACTGAGTGATGAAACAATCTGTACACAAAACCCCCACAGCACACAATTTACCTATATAACAAACCTGCACATGTACTCCTGAACTTAAAATAATTTAAAAAGAAAAAAAAAAATAGCTCGAAGTCAACTTGACCGAAGCAGTTTTAGAATAGTTATGAGGGAGAAAGACAGATTGCACTGAATGGAGAAGTAAATGGTGATGAACAAGGTGAGACACTATTCTTTCAGGTACTTTGAAAGAAAAATAAAAGAGAAGGTTATTGAATGAGGATAGTCTAAGGAGGGTTTTATTTCCATTTGAGAGTCTTATATATCACTATATGTTTTTAAAAAGCCAATAAAGCCAGAGTTTGAAGATACAAGCAAAAATTGCCATCTTCTCCATCCAAGTCTTATTTTTCCTTTCTACTCTTGTTCCTGTCTCTTCTACTCCCTTCCTATGCATCTTATTAACGTTTCCTATGCACTTATCTCAAGCTAATTGTTTTTGTCCTCTCCCGATACTTTTACTAATCTGCAGGGAACGGAGCTTGCAACAACCACTAATGGTGAAATCTTTCTTGAGGTCCTTATTGTGACAGACATTTACATTTATTTATTTATTTCTTATGATTTTCACCAAGAAAAAGACTATTTCATCTCAACAGTGATGGATACATCGTTAATGTAATAGAAGCCAGAAAGCAGTCAGTTAAGAGGCTGACAGGCCAAACTGAGCTGCGATATTAAATCTCACCAAATCACAACCCTGTTTGCGGGAGGAGCGAAGGTGATCATGTTTCTGAAAAGTTGGCAGCTGCTCCTTTATACTTTTTTCCTCACTCATTGGGATGCACCAGGTGTGATGCATTCCCTACGGCCAATATCACGTTAGAGCAAGTGTAGATTAGCATACTCTTCAACATCTTTTTGCTCTTGCCTCTATTCATAGAACACAAAAGTCAAAAGACAGGGTCATCTAATGGAGAACAAGCCAAAATTAAAAGGACAGTTAAAAATAGAACTTGGGAGGGAGGAGTTATGTTGATAGTGAAAATTCTGGAAACTGACATATAACCACAGGCTTAGCAAGAAAAAAGACAGCTTTCATAAAAGACCATCTGTTGACGCTTGAACTAAGAGGGAAGTCAAGCTTTGCAATGGAAGGTGGGAGGGGAGGGAGAGAGTATTTTTTAACTGATAAGAGATTTGAGGGTATAAGCAAGAAGTGAAAAGTTGATTTCTTAAGAGGGGGTCTTAGAAATTATTAGATTCTCGGGTGCCATGAATTCAAATCCTGGAGCTATACATTAGGGTTTTCATAAAAATACTCTGAAGATTTTGTTTGCATATTATCAAAAACTGAATGCAATCTGAAGAAGACACTCACAAAATCTCTTTTCTTCTCTTGTTCTAGTTTAAAATACAATTACTCTTAAGGCATACTCCACATTTGCTGGCATTTTCCTTTATAGTCTCTCTCCTAACGTTATTACAACTCTGTAAAAGATATTTTAATGTTTTTTTAATGTATGTGTCTGCCCTTAAACAGTAAGGGTCTAGAAGATTTGTTGTTGTTGTTGTTGTTGTTTTGCTTTGTTTTGTTTTGTACTGTCAGTAGAAAAGACAAAAGATTCTTCCTAGGGCAGTGTGACATAGAAAAATATAGTAACAATTATTTGGGATTTATTATTTGTTATCTCAATTTGATCTCTACACCAGCCCCATAAACATAATGGTTTTAGCCTAAAAGAACCGACCCTTGGATTTAAAATGTAAATTATTCAGTATTAAGAATATCCTAAATTCAACCCATGATCTCATCATTAGAACCAAGTACAGTTTATAGAGTAACTGAGTAAATAAAAACGCAAGACAGGCAGGGCGCGATGGCTCATGCCTGTAATCCCACCAT